TCGGGGAATTTATATTCCATTTTAAGTAAAGTGTAGGCCCTAGGGGGGGGGCGGCTACTAGTAGTAGTAGTAGTAGTAGTAGTAGTAGTGGTAGCAGTAGTAGGAGTAGTAGGAGTAGTAGGAGTAGTAGTAGTAGTAGTAGGAGTAGTAGTAGTAGTAGTAGGAGTAGGTGGTGTCCAGAGGTGATTTGGCGACTCGTGTATGGCCTCCTGACTGCTGGGCAGACAATTTTTTCGACTACAGCGCTGATTTTGATCAGCTTGTTGCTGGGTTATTGTTACCTGAATTTGGGTTTAGACTGAAACGACATGGAAGCCCTAATGTTTGGGGATCGTATTTCCGCCAGCTTAAGCTGAATCCTTTTCCAGCCTCCCAGGTTCGTCTGTTCCTGTGTTGCTGTGGAGCTGATCGGCAAAGACAATGACCTGCTGGATGGTCCTGAGACAGGCCCTATTGTCCGGACGCCGCCTGGCATGACGTTGATGGCAAAGGTTTGCAACAGGATTTTTTGTGGTTGTATCTAGGGATGTTATAGGGTTATATTGGGGTTGTATTGGGATGATGGAAAATAGGATGGAGACTACTATAGGGTCCCATTTTTTGACGCCCTGAACCTGGCCCTTGAGCTATGTTTGCTTCAGTTCTGCTCGCAACATGACACTCTCAATTACCATGCAACGATCCAGTCTACTGCAGCAACCTAGACAACATCTGCCCGGATTTCGGGCCACGATTCCCATCGCACATTTGTGTGGGAACTCATTTTGAGAGCTCAGTGACAGGCACTTTCAATCTACAGATTGTTGAGCCCTCGCGCTCTACATGTGTGTTTGCCTATGTTTGCCTTCTCAAGTAGCCGATCAGGGTGTATGCCCCTTTGCTGAGTCTGACTAGTGGGAAGACGGAGCTCCACTGATGTTCGGAGCCTACATTCCGCAATCCAGGGCTTTCTGGCAGAGTGTTTGGGCATGTGGGTATCAACAGCTGAAGTCTTTTGCAGTGCGCGCGCGCGCGCGCGGGTGTGTGTGTGTGTGTGTGTGAGCGCACCAGCCGGGTGGATAGAAACCCATCATCACATGACCTGAGTCAGGTATTTCCGGGGGATCGACAGGGCTCTAATAACATTGATCCAGTTCGTCACCCTGGACTCAGTGGCTGCCATCTATTTCCCTTTGTCGCTCATCTTTATTCAGCAAAACTTCGCGCTAGGTCTTGAGATCATTTCTTGCTCATGAAGTTAGATGTTGCTCATGTTCCATAGGCCAAGATGCGAAACCCTAAACCCCTAAACCCTAAACCCAAAACCCACAGGATTTTGGTCAAACCCTGGCTCAGCATTTTCTTTCTGGGCCTCATCGTGGTGATCTCCATTGGCTTGATGAATCTTGTGACAGCAGCGGTTTTAGAGCAGCTCGGCCCTGACTGCTCAGGCTGCGGCATGGCTATAATGTTTTACAATATACAATCATATACTATAATATTATAGTATATACTATAATATACTATAATATATTAGAATATACTATAATATATTAGAATATCTTAGAATATACTATAATATACTACCATATACTTGTTATACTATGTTATACTTTAATATACAATTTTCAACATTAGACAGAAAGGATCTTGGCTGTCTTCTGCCAGGCTGTCAGGACTTCAACTAAAATTGGACTTCCTAGTAGGGTGACTAAAAGTTGAAATTTCAGGGGTGTCCTAAAGACAGCCAAGGGATGGTACTGCTACTGCTACTGTTTTCACTCCCTTCTGGTGATTTGGCCTGCTGATGCAAGAAAACAAGGAACGCTATGCAAGCGGCTGTCCAAGATGCCGAAGCAGAGAAGAATGCCATGATGGAAACTGTCAAGGACCATGTCACCATGTCTAAGACCGATGCCAGGCACAGCATCGCAACATTTGCAGGCCAGTACATGGCTTTGACACTTCTGGTCCTTGGGCCGCCTACATGAAATGCTTTGGGCACAATTGTAATCCACCATCCCACTGGGACTACACATCATTTCTTGATCCTGATTTCCCAAACGTCATTATCATGGCCTCCTTTGTGGTCGCTGTACTGATGGTGGTTGGAAGTCGTTTTGGTGGTGGCGGCGGCGGTGGCGGTGGCGGTGGCTATCCATCTCAGGCGTCGTCGTTGTGGTTGCGTCGCGCTTAGTCAGTAATTTTCTCAATCGTCGTTGATTTTGCGCCTGGGGTCGTGGTGGCGTTTTTAGCTGATGCTTCAAAGTTGACAGGACGCCATTCCGGAGCTATTGAAGATCTTCCAGAGCATCGACAAGGACACCTGGCGGAACAGTTTCACACGTCAGCTGCCGTAGGCAGAGGATCTACGATGACGGTATTAGTTGATGAGTTGTTTGCGTGATTGGGATCTATAAACATGACCATGCTTAATCATGATACTGTAGGATTGATGGTTGCCATGGGCATGAGAGCCGAAGGTCTCTCGGCGTGACTAAGGATGGCAGCGGTATCCTGACTCACGATGAGGTTGTGACTGTTGACGTTGATATTCTGCCGAAAAAGTTCCTGCAGACGGTGCATGTGAATAGCATGGTCGAGCTCTTCGACTATCTTGACGTACCTCGCCTTTTCCTAGCATTGCTGTGCACCTGATGGAAACATTTTGAAGCACCAAGGTCGACCACACTCGAGAGCAGCTTGGCCGCAACAGCGGAGCATTTTGGGCTGGCCATTTCCTGCAGTATCACCATCGCTGCTATTATTGTTATTACTACTACTACTACTAGTACTAGTACTAGTACTATTCCTCCTACTACTACTACTACTACCACCATTATTCTTACTTCTACCTGAAAAATGAACAATATTCCGATTATTATCAAATTTTTCTTACCATTATTTTTACTGATATTTTGTTTGCTGTTATCATTACTGTTCTTAGCATTACCAATATTATGATCCGTAGCCGTGGAGGGGCTCTAAGGCTGACGAAAGAGGAGTTCATTGAAGGCCTCCTTGACCTCTGCCTTCGAGACATGCCTCTGCACATGGTGCAAATGTTGAAGCTGCTCCACATAATCCTGACGATATCCAAAAAGATCGACTTAAACATCGAGGCCCTCCGCGCACATCAGTCATTAGGCTGGTCGAACCAGCCATCTGATAAACCTCTCAAAGAAGGCCTTTGAACTTTCTAACCCCTGCGTGGTGCAGATGTGTCTCAATCGCAAAGCGACGGGAGACAGAAGCTTGCTGGACACGAGCTGAGACACGGCTTTTTGCACGGCTTTTTGCTACATTATTCTGTTCTCCCTGTTGGCTTGCAGCAGTGGATATAGATAAAGATTGTGCAGTCGTGTCCATGCTCGGACTTTCTTCTGCGAAACAAAGATTTGCAGAGAACTGGCAAGGAGGAGCGAGGACCTGAGAAAGTCGCCTGAGATGAGATTTTACTTTGCATTTCAAGCAGCATTCAATCCTGGAACTCAGCCTGCTCCATGCGGAAGATATGCTTGTGGCTCGGACGGCGACCGCACTAAGTGTCAAGTGCGATGATCAACCGCACCCAGACTGGTCAACACCTTCGGACCGAGTCTTAAACTGTCTTAACTGTACTGCAACTGTTGATGCCCAACCATCTGATTGAAATCTACGCTTTCTCAGGCCAGAAACCATAGAGCAGATGCACTGAAGCGAGGCAGCCAACAGCGATGTACCAGGGACTAGGAGATTTTCAGAGAGCATATGTACAACATGCTTCACGGGCCATGCTTCTGTACCGGCTGCTCAGATGCATCACCTGATTTATTCGCCCAGCTTTAGGCCTATGTCCCCTCCCACTCCTGTAGATCAAGGCTTGGCTGTGAGTTTGGCATCTGGCAGCTTGGAAACTTGGCCAGCTGAGTGTTCTCACTCCGCTGCCACTGCAGCTCTGACCTTGCAGGCTCGGCCCTGTCATGCGATAAGCTTGGATGCATCCGAGCCTCTTGGCAACCTTGCACTGTCACAAGGGGATCTTGCGGCCTTCGCGAAGACCAGCACACAGAGCTCGGCTGCAGGCCATGTGACCTTCGCAGTGGAGAACTGTGCAACCTGAACAGCTCTTTTTGTGAAAAAGACTGCAGCAGGCGCAGCACGGCGTAGCTTAACAGCTTGTCATGTACGCTTCTCGTCCTGGGACCCTTGCAATCCTCTTGAGGTGGCTGCCAGTTCTGGGACCGAGCCAGGCCCCTCCGGGCTCTTCTCGGTACCATTCAGGCCATGCGTCCCGTCTATATGTTGAGTCCTCATTGGCCATTGTTGACGGAGAAAGTTAGGTGGTTCTGTGATGTTCTGTGATTGTAAGTTGTGTGAGCATTGGGTCATTCATAGACGGGTCCGGGCTGGCAAAGGCATCCCAATTAGCGCCCAGCTCCTTGCCATGTTTGAACAGATCGCTATGGCAGCTGTGAGAAGATAAGAACATGGCAGCACCCTCGGCTTGCACCAATGCGGAATCCTAAGCATCTCAACATGACTAAGAAAACAAAGCACAAAGCTTGAACAAGCAAGCTGGGGAATTGTATGCAGTCGCCGCCTGGGCACTGCCGCAGCGGTAGTCGCAGCGGTGACAGCGAAGCGCCGTGTGCGAGCTGCCAGCCCTGCGCTTGCGGTGGTTGAGCCTTGCCTATGCCAGACTTATTGCGGTATAGGATGGTTATCACTGAGTCATCACTGCCGTTGCTCCGTGCGCATTTGCTCTGGCCTAATTCTCATTTAGCCCAAAATAAACGTGCCGGCAGTCTCGATTGCAAGGGAAGGACAATTAGTTGCCACCACCGTCAACGATGCACATTGGGGTACAAATTTTAATCGCCAGCAAAGCATGTTCGAAAGATGCGCAAAGACAACTTCTGCAGAAAATTACACTCAGAGCCACAGTGACGGCAGAGAAGTTTCTTAGATGTATCGAACCTGGCCGGGAGTGTGTTCCAAAATCACACAGAAAGGTCCGCAACCTCACCAGCTTAATATGGCTGCTGCAAAGCCTTTTCAAGAGGCAATTCTTGAAGCAGTGGATCCGTAGGGGTTTCTTTCGATCTGTATGTGATGTCCGCAAGGAGAAACCCCCATTGGACAATCGTGCCTTTGGCGTCCAACAGTCGGCTCTGCGTTTGTTGTGACTGTGTGTTGGTCTTGCCTATGTCAAGTTCGACAGCGTGTGCTGTGAAGAGCACAGCCCCTTGCAGAGGCGAGTACAAGCCCATCACCTTGCGCAACGGGCTGCGTGTGCTACTCTGCTCTGACCGGGCAGCAGACCGTGCAGCTGCTGCGCTCGACGTCCATGTAGGCCTGTTCAGTCCTGAAGCTGATGCCTTCAGTCTTTGACTATGTAGTTGCAATGTGTTGCAACAGTTTGGTGAGTTTTCTCTTGTCCAGGCGTCGTTGGAAATCTGAACATGTATTCTGCACCGCCTGTACCCTAAACTCCTAAACCTGAAAACAACCTAACCTGCTGAGCAGACGAAGCGTGGTCATTCATTATAGACGAGTCGCTGGCCTTGTAAACGTCCCTTGAAGGCTTCTTCAATGATCCGCCGGCCGTACAAGGGTTGGCTCACTTCTGCGAACATATGCTCTTCTTGGGCACCGAGCCCTTTCCGGAAGAGAACAGTGCCTTGGCTTAGCACCTAGCATCTAGCATGGCATTCGGAAATAGGTCTTTCACATGAAGCATGTGCTTTTGGCATGCCAAAGCTCCGTCTACTTGTTTGATCGTCTTGTTGGGTAGAGGTAAGGTTTTGATGCGTACTTGACTGCGAACAGTGGCTACTCGAATGCCTACACGGAAGCCGAGGATGAACCGCATGCTGCATGGGTAATTTCAGCTCTGGTTGATGAGAACGGTTCGAAGTGTGTTTATGCAAATCCCAGCGAGGAAAACAAGCATCGGCCTGCAGGACACTTGCTTCTTTTTTAGCTGCAGCACAGCGGGCTTGCGCTCTGCGCTGGAGCGTTTCGGAACCTTCTTTCAAAAGCCTCTCTTCACGGCCAGCGCGACCGAGAGGGAGGCTCCGTTCACGTGTTCACGGCTACCGGGCTACTGGTTTTGGGCGCTTGCCATTGGCTCCTAGCAAGCACAGAGGCGATGATTTCCGCAATTCGAATCAAGGAGAGATCGTAAGAACCCTTGCCAGCCAAAGCTGCCGTACCGACCTTCCTCAGTGCAGGTCAACGCTATCAACAGCGAGCATTTGAAGAATGTGCCACCTGGAAAGCACACAGTGTAATTGCATGGATGATTTCCACGTTGTGACAAGTCTTTGATTGGTATATTGCCCGATCCAGGCCAAATGACGTTTTTCGCCTGGGACAGGCGGGATGAAACGGTGAGCAACAGACAAAACCGTTTCCATCTTGGAAGCTGCTGCGCCTCTTATCGAACAGTTAAGGACGCCCGTATGCATCAGTGTAGCCTGGAAGAGGGCAGTTCGTTATGTCATAAACCTGGTAAGCCCCACATGGCTGCACAAGAGGTCCTAAACTATCGGGCCAATCCTGCGCATCCGTATCACCAATTCGGGAAACCTGGATGCAGAGTGAGGGTCGCTCCCGGCGCATCGTTTCTCGTATGAATTTGACCGCTTGCAAGGACAGGGAACATCAAGACCTTGCTGCAAGACACTGCTGGTACAGGCCCACCTGCATGGAATTCAAGCTGGTGGCGAATTGCTAGGTGCAGATTGTCTCTGGTTGGCCCCTGCCAAAGGAGTTAACCTTCGGGCAGAGCTTCTACGGTACTATCGCCGCAGCTCAGTCTGATAAACCGAGAGACACTTCAGTTGCAATAGAAGAGCAAAACACGGGAAGGGCCTGCCCCAGGTTACTACAGAGCACCGCTGATGACGCTGTGCATCCTTGGCGATGCGTCTCCGGACCTGCTTGCTAGTTCCTTCGGCTGATGCACGGGAGTGAATCTGCAAGCCACGAGATGCCACGAACGCTGTTTCACCCAGAACAGGCTGCAATGTAGACTAACATGTGGGCAAGTTTGCTTTGGTTCGAGCTCCGTCCACAATCTAGGTTATGCAGAACAGTTCTTCGGTGGAATCCCTGGCGCTGCGGAAGGTCTCCTTTTCCCGTGATGTAGATTTTTTTCTCATCCTGGGCTCTCCTTATTATGGGGATAATATAGGGATTTATTTAGGGGTTATATAGGGATA